TCATATGATTGCAGTCATCAATCTTCGGTTATATTTAAACTGATTGGCATCAATTGTGCAAACTAATTAAAAACAGCAACAGAAACAACCCGAAAATAAGTTAACTAAACCTACAGCATTAACTCCCTGTTGAATGGCAGCATAAGGTATTAATAATAAAAAATTTGTTCCCTCTTGTTGTTATTTGTTATTTTGCTCTATTCGGTTCTTCTTTCCTTTTTAACACAATGATTTACCTTTAGCACATAAATATTCCAACAATAGAACCGATTACTGAGAGGAAAAGTGACATAATATAAAATAACAGTAAAGAAAAAAATAAGCTTCATTTATTTTACTTATTTATTCGTTTTTGTGCAGTTAACGATGATGAAACTGGCAGCAAACTGGGAACATTGAATCCGCAGTTCACCGCAAACAATGACATTCATCTCCCTCGCTGACTTTCACTCTCCATGTTTTGCTGTCGCCTTGTCTCCCAGTCCCTTTGTCTCTCCGTCTGCCTTATTGGTCGTCTTCGTAACTCAGTGAACTGCGGCCAGAGATGTACCGCCTATCAGAGCTTAATTCACTGATGCACCCACCATCAGCCAGTGAGTGAGTGATGGGCGTTAACGATGTCGAAAATGCTTATAAAAGGCAGTGTCCTTAACTGATCAGTCGTAACCTCCTAAGATATAACCGGACTAATAGACGACAGAATCTTGTTCTCCTCTTCCTCCTGCTCCAACCCATACTCCTTCCTCTTTTCCTTCCTCACCCTACCCTTCTGCTCTTCGTTGGGCAGAACCTAAAAACGCTTATTATTTTGGCAAGAAAATGTCTCAACGGCTTCCGTGTTGGACCGTCCAGTACATCGCCCTGATATTTTCCATATTAATTGCCCTATCGCGAGCACTTATTTGTTACGAGAACGACGAGCAGGTTTATTTCTTTTTTTTATTCATTCGTTTTTTGGTGTATCAGTGTATAATTTTTTGGCTCGTTATTTCCTCTGTGTTACGTCCACAATTTAAAGTATACATTTTTTTTTAAACTTATAGTTTTCTCTAATAAGTAAGTAAATTAATTAATTGAAAACTTTCTGAATTTTCGAACAGCTCCCATTATTAATCACCTGATAAAAACTGCATCATGAATTTTTTCTTCAAATTCCGGCATGAAAAAAACTGAACTGTTATTTTTAGGGCCACATTAAAGCAGTAGAAAATAAGGATTGGAATTATTGTATGCTTGTACCGAAAACGCCATTAAATCCAGGAGGAGGAAGTTTGTCTGGTGTTGGTCCACTTGAAGACAACACTGGATTGTACGACAGCACCTTTGATGTGTCAAACCCCCTGTACAAAATACTGTCTTTGTGCATTCTAGAAGTACGTTTATGCCTGTTGTTACGATAACAAATTATCAGTTTTATAATTTATTTCATTTTATGCTTTTTAAAAGCATAACGCTGAATATAAGGAAAAATTGTAAAACGAGCTGTAACAATATCTTAAACTGTCTCTTCAATCAGTTCAGTTATTGAGTTTTCAATGTGGTAAAAAGTGATGTATTCAATTTTTTTCTCCTCTTCTTTTTTCAGAGATACGATTTCACTTCATTATTGAAAATACGAAAATTCCAACCGGAATTTATGTTCAGATGCGTCTGCAATTATGATAAATGCAACAGCGAAGCAAACTTTCAAAATTATCTACGTGCTATAGTTAAAAACAACGAATAGTTTTATGAAAAAAAAAGGATAGAAGAAGAAACAAAAAGGAAAAAAAAAGATTACTCATCTACTTGCTGTCGTCGTCGATCTCGAACTGTTTTATTTGATGACAAAGACTACTTATAATTGCTCGATATGATTGGCCTTAACTGAACTAAGTATATAAGTAGAAATAATATAGGCAAAGTATGCCTGGCCAACTATACATACATATACATATATATATAAATCTATGCTGTGTAAACCAAGTGAATTGTATGGCGTGATAGAATACACCAATCAAGCATAAACTTTTTCCTTGCCAACTGTTTGCCTAAGTTATGAACGCTATGTTTTGCTGGTTGCTCTTGTAAAATACTATGTGCTAACATCACCTGCTTTTAAACAGCATAAAATCTGAATTTTTTTACTTTCGTATTCAACAATCGTATTAGTGTATTTTGTGAAATCTTCTTCTAAGATGTACAAAAAGTAACTTGATGAAATGTGCCAATTTTCATTTTGCTAAGACCGCTACAAACAACAGTGAAAGCCTTTTGGCCACTGAATTCGTGAACAGACCAAAGAAACATCTTTGAACACTATCTTATTTAGGTCATTTTTAATGATAGCCATAAATTCGCCTGAAAAGTAAGCGAAGAGCATTATTTTTGCAAACCACTTGTCATTGCTGTTTTGTAGCAAGCAGAAAAAAAAAGGAATCACTAGCAATTTTTTAAATTTAATTTTTCCCAGCAGAAAGATCTGTTTTTGGTCACAAAACAGTTCGTAAAGACACCTCCAAAAAATGCTCACAAGTGCATTTCCAGTTTCCGATCCTTCAAAAAGTTTAGCCAAGAGCAGCAGACTTAAATCGCCTGTTTTAAACTTCTTGCAAATAACAAATCCTCAAAATCAAGTAGCATTACTACTCTTCGTCTTCGTTTTCAGCTTAGTGATGAAAATTTAAACGGAAACTTTTCATGATTCTTTATCCTTTCTTATCTTCTGCTACTCGTTTTGCTCATCGTTATCCTAAGCGTAGATAAAAATGTACATACGAAACTACAAAATCCCAAAAAATCTCTATTTGAGAACAACATAAAAACAGATACAGCATAACTTTGACACAATTATTTACAACTATGCACATACAACAAAAAAA